AGGACACTGCTGAGAAGCGTCGAAGACGGAAAGGTAGACGTATAAGCAGCAGGGGACAGGGTGATTGAAGGGTGGGAGTCCNAAACGCCGAGATGAAGCGGAAGGCGAACGATAGAGTGCGCAAAATCTCCAATAGCGAAAAGNGGTGGAAAGTAGAGCGTTTGGGAGACGAGGGGACACGGGATGAATTCCAGAAGGGACTGGCTGGTAGTGTAGAACCCTTCAGGAAACTGCTGAGAAGCGTCGAAGACGGACAGGTAGACGTACAAGCAGCAGGGGACAGGGTGATTGAAGGGTGGGAGTCCATAGTGAACCTAATGGCAGAAAGAGTAGTGGGAAAAAAGGTGGTACGATGTGGGGTATCGGTTTACTGGTGGGATGACGAGCTCAAAGAAATAGGTGAACGGAGAGAAGTCTTCAGGCAGTATATGAGTGAGGCGTCTGAGGAGAGTTGGGAAAAGCACAGAGCCAAGAGAAAACAGGTGAAGGGACTAGTGAGAAAGAAGGAAAAGTGCATTTGGGACGAAGTAGTGCAGAAGTCCAACGGAGGCCTGGAGGGGAACGTCAAGCATATGTGGGAAGGAATTAGTGGAATGGTAAAAAAAACGCGCAAGGGGGGGAATACAGGGGTAGCAACTTTACGAGGTGTGAACGGTGGATTTGTCAGCAGTGGGAAGGGAAAAAGGGAAGTTCTAGCAGGACACTACAAGAGACTTGGAGTGCCCTCGGAGAATGAAGCCCTTTTGACCAAGTGTTTTAAGAAGGAGATGGACGCATGGGCCCAGAAAGAAGAGACATCGAAGGCAGACGTTGGGAACGTAGAACTAGAAAAGGAGTTCACTGAGGACGAGGTTGAGGCGTGTGTGAACAAGCTGAAGTGCCACAAAGCAGCAGGAGCGGATGGGATAGTCAACGAGTTCATGAAGTTTGGGGGGAAGGGGATGATCCAGCTGATGGTACTGCTGTACAATTGGGTGTGGAAAAACGAGTATACGCCAAGTAGATGGAGGGAAAGAGTGGTCATGAAGTTGTTTAAGAAAGGAGACAAGACTGACCCAGGAAACTCCAGGGGTATCACACTGTTGAACACAGTAGGAAAAGTGTTCTGCAAGCTGCTGAAGGATAGGATAGTGGGAGTATTGGAGAAGAAACATAGCATTAGTGAGGGCCTGGCAGGTTTCCGAAAGAAGAGGGGTGCGTAGACCACGTATTCACGGTAGGGAGAATCATCCAAGGTAGAAAGAGGGCGGGAAAGCCGACGTACTGCTTCTTCCTGGACGTAAAAAAGCTGAAGGAAGGAATAGGGTTCAAGGACTAATTTACCTACATGGACCAATGGATACAGGAAGCTTAAGGTCAAATTCAGGACCGGGGACATAGGCCTTCGAGAACGTCGACGAAGACATTGGACGGTAGACGAGGAAGACGACGAGTTCAAATGTGATTGCGGCTTCGAATGCGAAGACCGTGTTCATGTAGTCGCGGAATGTCCGTTGTACAAGAAGGAGAGGGAAGTGTACGTGACTGAGCTGGGAAAAATAGATGGGACGTACAGGGAGATGTTTGAGGCATTAAATAGAGAGGAAAGGACGGTAGCTGTACAGGGGCACAGGAAGCGGGTTAAAAAGGCGGGAAGGGATATCGTTAGGATAGACAGAATAGGGAAGACATT